CCCAAAATCTGTTCAACGGATTCTCCACAGATTGGGTTATCAGACGAAAGAAGTGGGCAAGTGATATGATCATCAAGCCTCTGGATTTTTGGGAAACCGTATTGTTCTCAGACGAATCAAGATTTGCTCAATTTTCGGACAGTGGAAGGATATGGGTTTGGAAAATGCCTCACCAAGAGTTTTGGCTCAACAGATTGCAGCCAACTGTGAAGCATGGTGGTTTCAGCGTGATGGTTTGGGAAGCTGTTTGGGTTGGTGGGAGATCGAGCTTAGTGGAGTGCATTGGCAACATAAATTTTGCAAAATACATCGAAATATTGGAGGAAGGACTCTTGCCACTTTATTCCTCAGGTTTCGTGGACAAGAACACAACGTCGTTCCAGGAAGATGGAGTACCATGTCACACCTCTAGAAACACTCAAAAGTGGCAGGAAGAAAATGGTATCCAGAAGTTGCCCTAGCCGAGCCAATCTCCTGACATGAACCCCATCGAAAACCTCTGGGCCATACTCGACCGGCAAGTCAAAAAACAACCAAAAAATCCAACTTCGAGAAGCGATCTACTCCAAGTTTTGAAGCAAGAGTGGGCAAAAATCCCACAATCTAAAATTGACGAGATGATTCTCATGATGCCCCAAAGGATCAACGAACTCCACGAAACGAAAGGAAGATCTACTAGATATTAATTAAATTATAAATATATCAATTCATGTGAATATGACTGTGGATATTGTACTAGAATTTTTTATTTTGACTTAGCTTTGCAATATACCATTCATCTTGCTTATTTTTGTCTTGTGTAGACAGGCTTCAGCAGACAAATGTACACTGTTTATATTGTACTTTGCAGTTGTTGAAGACCCCAATTGTTAGATACATTGCCAGAAAAATAAAGACTTCTATTTTTCTTCATTCATTTGCTTGCTTCTTTACTACAATGTCCCTATTTAATTTATTCTGGTTTTTTTTTTTTGTCATGAATTACAAATACTTGTAGGGCTGTAATGAAGGGTAGCTTTTGACTTTTGAAGATTTGGAACACATTAGTGAACAAAGGTTTGAACTTTTGGTAGTACTAACTTGCATAATTTACTGATAACATCATCATAACTACAATTTTATGTTTGATTGAAAATTTCTTATTTCATAGGAATCCATATAAATAAAATGAAACATATAGTTGAAAATGTGCATTATTGATGCTGTGCGTGATACTCCCATAATTACACAGTAATTACAGTAAGCTTGCATTTAAGGAGTGCCTCATTGCAGTCAGTTAAAAAATTATAGCCAACTTAAGCAAACCAAATCTTTATTACACAGTCACAGTTCTAAGAAGATTGACAGCCACAGTCTTTTTAACATAAAACAGTTGATTAATTAAATACTAATATTATTTGTGTTAGTATATATTTTATGTTTCATACTTATTCTACCATAACACTTCTCTTACGTCATGTACACTAGGCATTCACAGTATGTGTTATCGAAGCAACGCAGCTGCTAAACGTACTCACTGTGCTTCATTAGCATGGTCTGCTCTAAGCAAAGGTCATTATAAAAATCAAAAGATCGAATTTTCCATGTGAGTGACATTTGTAATTACTACTTAATGATGTCAAAGGGTTTTTATTAAAAAACTTCTGACTGTACTTAAATACTATCTGATGAACCTTCAAATGTTTAGTACTATCTTCAAATTCCTGGCTAACAGATGAACCTTTGGACCATGAAACATGGCCCTAGATACGTGTTGAATGTCAGTGTACCTGAATATTAAAGACTAAATTATTAAGCTACATTTTTGTACTGTGATCAGGCTGGCAAGACTTACTGATAACATTCCAGCCCACATCTAGCTGCTGAGGTTGATGCAGAATTCAATAATGATGCACATCTTGAAGTGTCACAGTGTTTTGCAGTTAATAACACTATATTTTTGCATAGGGTTAGACTAACTCTCCAGGAGATCACCATTGAAATGTGACATTCTATAGAGGACATTGATAGTCTTTTGCCACCTCCTTAGACATTTATCAATATTTCATGTATGTATGTAACTTCATGTTTTTTATTGTTCTTCCTTATTTCTGGAGTGAAGTTACATTCAATTCAAGGGGAGGAGTAAAAATGTGTTTGGAATGTATAATAGGGATGATTGTTGATATAGGTAACTTAGAAATAGAAAGTATTGTTTTGATCTAGCAGTGTGATAAGCCTTCATCTAATGCAGTTGTGCTTCCTAACTGTTTTAGAAACTAACTGCAGATTGTCTCTCATGTACTTTAAACCATTTTTAAAGACCTCAGTAGTCAAGTGTTATTGTTGTATGAAAGAAAATTTGTATTTTTTTATTCACTTATGCTTGCTTCTTTTCCTTTGTTGACAATATTCAGTTCATTCTCTTTTTTAACTAACCTAAACTGCTGTGTTTTGTGGATACCGGATACCTACCTGTTGGACGTTAGTGTACCTGAATATCTTGACAAAAAATTAAAGTGAAGACATGATTAGTCAGGAAGTTTATAAAATCAACATGTGTTTTATTACTATTATTATAAACAGTTTTATAAAATTAAAGGTCAGCTTATATCTAGTAGTTATAGTTTGTTTTCTACGATAACATAGCTAGCTGAGTGGCTGGCACATTCACTGATTTTTCTCAAAAGTCAATATAAGGGCTACCTGATACAAAACTGAATATCATATTCTTATTACCAGTGCTCTAAACAAATCTCTGATATGAACATCATATATAATAGCATAGCATATGTTTTGGCTGTTGAAACTGTATCTAGCTGAGAAACTGAGGTCTTTGTAATATTATGCCAACTGTGTAAAAGTTGTACACACTTTCATGTTACAATGATAGTAACTCTTTAAGGACAGTAGGGGTGTCAGATGTAGCCAACACTCTTTCACATTCTCACAGTGAAAATATTAAATGTGCATGAAACTTGATACAAATTAATTAATGTTTAGTTTTATGTGAAAAGTTTGTAAAATTTTATTTAGTATGTGTACAATTTTTTGTAAAGTTGTAAAGTTTTTGAAATTTTTGTCTTACTTTTTACGATTTATTTTTTGTGCATTACAAAGTTTCATTTTATATATCGAACAGTTTTAACTTGTTTGATATTCTTAAATACTTCATTTTGCTGATTGAAGCAGCTGACTTTCTGCTATAAATCATACAAACATGACTAGTCTTACAAAGATCTATATGTGATCAATGACTTTACATTTCATAATGGTGACAATCTTACCATTACCAGGTGTTTGGGATTAATTCATATCTAATAATTAGTTTGTTTTCTATAAATAAGAAGATCTTGTGTTTGTGGCTGTTGATTAAATGCAATAAACTAAATTATATATTCAATAAAAAAAATGATTTATGTTATCTGACTTGTCTGTCATCACACAACTAGCTTATTGTTCTTGCCAAACATAAATATCCTTACTTGATGTCTTGTTGTAGAAGAATATTCCTGTAACTTTCCAAATGACATAATGCAAAAACATTATCAATAATGAAAAATATTCATCTGAATGTTAAGGAAATATTTAAACATTTTCTTTTCAAGTTGGTTCATTATCATTGGCCATATTTAGTCTAACTTCTTACTTATGAATGTATGACTAATATCCACACAGAAATATTGTACAGAGATTGAGCACGTTATACTAAAACAATCTTGGAGCCTCACCATGTCATTACAGTCCATGTCACCACATCTGATTATTTTCTATCCAATGACTGCATTTTGACAATAGCCCTTCAACACAGTTTCCATTTTAAAAGGCTCCATCATAATGCTGTCACATCTGAAGCACACCCCTTCCCCTACATCCTTTCCACTAACCTATCTAGTCTTCTCATGGAGTAGAATGAACATTCAATTATCCAGCTGCTTGAAGTACATGACAGTTGAACAAATATGTTGTGGAAGCAACTTATGTACATGTGACCTGTGTCACTTTTACAGATAGACATCGTTTTTTATTATGTTGCATACTGTTGCCTGTGGATGATTTCTATCACTGAACTTTTTGTTTGTAGATTACCATGTTATAAGACATCACATTTTACTGGGTTATGATTTGTTGTAGGTCTCTTTGCTGCATGGTTCTGATACCCTAAGTTGATCCATATTCCTATTCTCCACTGCCATTAAGTACAAGGGATTTTTCTTCCAAAGAAAATCTAAATCCCCAATCTGAACACATGTTTATGATTTGACAGCATGAATATTTTGAAACAGAAATGGCTGTAGTATACCCTTTACAAAAGTGGAAAATGTTTGGTGCAACCACACTACACACAAAACAGCAATGTCAAAATATAGTTTTGATACATGTTGTTTCCCCATGTCTTTAAATTAGCTGTAGTTGTCACCTGACTTCCTCAATTGCATGTTCAAAATAATTTTAACATAATGTATTCAACCCTCTGTATTCTTGGCTACAGATTAACAAATTACAATATTATTTTTCAGAAAGTTGTTACCTTAAGGCTAAAGTGCTTTCCAAATTAAGAACAATTCAGAGTTCTCCAAAACTCCAAGGGCATTATAATAAATATGAGTTCAACTAATAAATTTACAGATGAACACACAAATGGCATAGATACATAAATGTTAAGCTAATGAAAAAACAATGAAGTCAGCAAAAAAAATATTTAAATAATCTAGGTGTCTGATATTAACAGTTCAGACACCTAGAGAGATGACACAAATAAACATTTCAACATGTGTTGAATAAACTAAATAAGCATTATATAATGCTAAAATACCAATTCTATAAAGTTTTTGAGTTCAAATAGAATTAGAATTATATATCTTACTTAAATTTTTAAAGTTCAATAGGAAGTATGCCCTCAGGGTGACCTGAGTAACCCAATGGATTGGGAAAGGTTGAAATATTCTCATGCTCATCAAACGTTTCCCTACAAGGGTCAAAGCTACATATATCTGTATAACCAAAAAGGACAGACATATTTATTAATCTAAGAGAAGTTTTTCAAATAATCAAATATATGGATCAATTAGCCACAAAAACAAAAATGTCACAATATACTTAAACTAATATCATGATAAATGAAGCTTTTTGTGTATTTAAATATAACAGGGTTGAAATGACTATATTGAAATAAGTAAAATTATGCAGATGAACTAAGTTACTTGTACACTACAATAAGAAGCATGAAAGAGTTAGGCTCAGCTTTGCTTGTTAATGCAATGTAATGTTTTATATGGATCATTCAGAATGTCTTATTCCTTAATGCTATTTTTTAATGACAAGTTTAGAAACAAATACAATGGGTTAGAGAATTTGATTGGCTTAAAATTCTCCTTACAGAAATAAACAGCCACAAAATCATTTTCCTCTAGCAGCTTTTCTAACATTTTCCTGTTAACCTCTTCAATTTCATCCTTGATCTCAAACACATCCTGACTTGTCAACCACTGCAGAATTCTGTCTTCATCTTGAAGGTCACCTTATAAAATATAAATATTAAAATGAAAAATATAATTTGTGTCAAAATAATTGGGAACACCAGGCAAAAACTTGCACCTAAATATTATTCTTTATGATTATGTACAATGCTGCATATAATAGGCAGATATTATCTGTCAAAATTTGAGTGTGTCTAACCAAAGCCTAAGTTCATCAAGTACAAAGTTTGTTCAAAGTTTCTGTCTAATCATGAAAATTTGAAAAATTCCTTACCAAAGCTATTCTAAAGTAAGCATTCAAACATGTTATTTTGAGACAGTATATGCCAAAAAAAACAACAACAAACGTCTAAAGAAACTATGAAATAGTTTGTTTCTAAATCTTTTAAGTTTCCAATTTAGGTTACTTTGTTCTTCTGTACACTAACTTTCCCCAAAAGCCAAAAGTTATTACTCAAATCACTTTATTTACTCCATGTGTACATAAAGATTACATATGCTCTATTCAATCATTAGTAAGTGTTCACTCCAACTGCTGTGATATTATAAAAGGATGGGAACTAAGCTTGTAATAAATTAATAAGAATAATAAAGAAAGAGAAAGAAAATCACATGAGAAATATGACAAGAATAATTATTTCCTTGAGGGATGATAGTTTCTTAGCATATATAACCCTATATTTTGAGACAGGCAGAAAAATTGTAAAAATTGATAAATGACTTGTTTACAAGCAAGACTACCCAGAGATGAACAGACATTAAGGTTGGAACATTTTTTCACTTTTCCTTACAAATTACACTAAATAAATATTAAAAATTGACAAAATATAATTTCAAAAATAATTCTGACTTTAAAATAGTTGAATCAAAGGCTTATAATTTTTATTTAAATTTTGAAATTTGATATGCAGCTATGTGCTAGACTTCTGAACAATGTTCACTGATCATGATAACAACAAAATAAAGGAATTGCAATTTCTATCTTAGATAATTAAAACTGACACGTATGGCCAAATTTAGTAAATCTATATTTTTTGCCTGACCAATTAAAATTGTGTTATCAAAATGGTAACATGGTCAGACATATCCTACTAAGAGAAAATATTTATTAGCAGCCCTGTTATGTATGATGCTAAACTTAGAACTTGCTAAATACTACAGTACCAAGTTAAGTTAGTGCAAAACAGCTACAATATTTTTACATTACAACTGCTGTTGCATCATTATCATTATAATAAGTCAAAAAAAAAAGAGAGATCTTGACAAAGAAAATTACATTTTGTGTAAAAACAGGTACTTAACAATGACACAAAACAGTTAATAAATAATGATAATGTAAAGATTTAAGTATTAAGTATTTTCATAAGACAAATAGCTGAGTAAAGTTTAATAATAATTACATAATATATTGAAATGGTTCTTGAAAACTCTCAAAATACTACAAAAAATGGTATATTTACTAAAATTATCAGATACTACATCCTGTAACACTTTTGATATATATATAGTTACAAAATTATTATGGTGATGTAAGGGCAGTTAACGTTTGAAGTCTGATCTTTAATCATCTATCAGGAGTGTATGAGTAGATTACATTTTGACTTATGTGTTCAGGTCTTAAGTCTCACCACAGTGTGTGAAACATCATCTGCTCTTACAGTTCAGGCAAGTTCAGTCCACAAAAGTTTAAATCCAGCACAACCTACCCTTGCAATAAGCTTCACTAAAACAAAATAATTTTCATTGAATTGGTTTCATGTGTATAGACAAATCAGAACGTTTTTAACAATTGTCTGATATTCTAATACTCTCTTTTATTAAGTTAATAAACAAGATTATTATACCCTACATAATTTAAGGTTTATATTTTGTATCCAATTAATGAATTAATCTACCTTATATTGACTGATAATTATTATATGAAAATTATTCATCAAATATCTGTTCATTATTAATTAATAAAGTCACTTTTTAGATAACAGTATCAGTCAAAATTGTGCAGCAATGACATTCAGTGCTTGCTTCATCATGTGAAAGTGTGCTGATCAAGATACTATGAATCATGAGAATATTCATTCTTAACAGTAACCACATAATGCTTTATGAAAATTGAGGTTGTAAAATCAATGTAAGTATGAAATGTAGATATAATGACTCATTAGAGAATGTATAGTGTGATATAATCACAGTTTTATTACTGAAATAGCTGTCTTATTAAATTTTTAACATAGAAAAAGTTTTCATACCATCATAGAACAAAGGTACTTTTTTCCTGAAGTATGCTAAAGTAGGAATATGAAGTATATTCCACTTGGCTGCTGCTTCTGCATCATTAATCTTAACAAAATCAATGCCAAAGAGATCAGCTTCATCATCAATATTCTCCAGTTCTTGCAGTGCTCGCTGACATTCATCGCAATCATTCTCATCTGGATAAAGCATATGGTACTAAGATAATGAAAACCTTTTTAATGAAAACATAAGATCCTTTAAATTTAAAAAAGGAAAATGAGCAAAACATGGATGACACTTATGTTATACTATACGGAAAATGTTAAACCTGAGATTTTTTCATCTCAACAACAACAACAAGTTGACATTTTCTTACACTGAAAACGTATTTCCAATTGGTACTTACCTCCTGTCACACAAAGCTATCTCGATCCTTGTTTTTTGCAATCAGTGCACCAGTATTTATACCTCATGAGTTTTGTTCCATTTCAGAACATGTACATATCATGTGACTACTCTCCACCAATAGTATTGTGCATCTATTCTGGCTCAGCTACCTCCCTCTGCTATTACCACTCAAATCCTCACTTTCAAGAATTGGCAGGTATTAGCATAAAAACACCGCCAGTGGGGAAGAAGGGTGGAAAGTGTGTGAGAGGAGGTGAGTACTATTGGACATACATTTTCAGTGTAACAAAATGTTAACTTCCAAAACGGTCTCACCTCGACTCACACAAAGCTAGAATTCCATACTGCAAAGGTGAAGGGGCCATTAAGGCCAATATCAGACCAATTGGAAAGTGACCACTCAAAATTAAGTTATTTTGTCTAGTGTGGTCCACCTGGGCAAAAAGCATCAAGGGGAAATGCAAGTAGCATGTTTGTTGTTATCAAAGGATTAAGGTATTTCATCTAGTGAGGTCCACCTGGGCAAAAACATTCAGAGAAAACTCCAAAAGGGTTATTTGTTTTTATAAATTGATGAAGTGATCAAGACTAGTGCAGTCTACCTGAGCAAAAACATCCAGGGGGAATTCAAGTAGGATTTTATTTGTATTTATCAATAGACAAAGTGATATTGACTAGTGCAACTCACTTGGGCAAAAACATCCAGGGGAAATGTAGATAAAAGAGGATGAAGTTATTTTGTCTAGTGCAGTCCATCTAGGCAAAAAACATCCAGGGGTAATGCACCATTAATAGATTAAGTTATTGTGCCTAATACAGTCAACCAAGGCAAAAGAATCTGGAGGAAATACATTAAAATTGAGTAAATCAATTTGTCCAGTGTAGTCCACATCCATGGCAAACAAATTATAAATTGATTAAGTTATTTTGTCTAGTGTGGTCCGTCCAGGCAAAAACATCTAGGGGAAATGCATTATCAATTGATGAAGTTACTTTGTCTAGAAGTAGTTTAACAGCTTCACCAGCTTTTCACTGAGGGGATATACATGAGTATTGTAAAATAAATATCGGAACTTACTCAGGAGGAAGCCTCCATAGTCCACCTTCCCAGTGATTGGTAAGGACTCCAGTGCTCCACTAGAAGAAAAAAAGGGGGGGGGGATGTGGTGCGGAGTTCGGGGGAACATCACACCAGACACTGTGCAATGGGTACCTGCAATTCCCTATTTTGAAAAGCAGACCAACCCCGATTTATGCAATCAAAGGGTTGGCAGGGATAGGCAGAAACCCCCTTCTGCTTTACCATGAGTGATGGTCTGTCATAGGTTGAAATTGATTGATATCTAGTACATTTCTACATATACCACTGGATAAGCAGCCAGTGGACTTACAAAACCACCCCATCTCTACAGTGAGCATTATATAGTTACTCTAAACTAGTGTGGGTTTAAGGCAAAATATACCTGACCAGGCAACACCTGCTACAAGGTGGGATTCGTAATGTAGATGTTATGACTGGTGAAGCTGAAAAGAAAACATAAAAGAATGGAAGTGATTAGAATTACCTCAGTTAAAGGCAAACTGACGTGTGTAGAATGACCATAAGAAGTTGATGATATCTAGTACAGGAAGATACAGCCAGGTGATGAAGATAATGAATGACAAAGGTATCAAAAGCAGTCCACATTCCAGCCTGAACTATCTCTTACAAAGGGCATCAAAGTGGTGCAACCAAGGACATAGTGATGTGACGAATCTGATGAGAAGAATGTTGTGGAGATGGTGACCTTCCTTGGATAAATCCAAATATTCCAGCCGAAGGAGTAAATGAACCCAACCAATAAGCATGACAGGAGACAGAGCATGGGAAATGGAGGGTTCCAGGGAATAAAAGGTCGGGAACTTGAACCCCAAAAAGAAGTAGTACATATCACATATCTCCTTAAGGAGTAAACCAGACAAGGAAGCCAATTGGGATCAGAATGGAAATGAAAGGTGAGAAAACAGGTGGGAAAGCCAAACCACTTAAACTGGCAGCGTAGGTCCAAGGAAGGAAGGAGCGGTTGGGATAGAGGATGACATAGGAGAAATGCTAGAGGATATGGGTAACATTAAAGGCATAAATATCTGAATGAAGATGACCACAAGCAAAGAGGAGGAGGAAATAGGTCCCAAGGGAGAAAAGGTAGATGGAACAGGAAGACAAAGGCATAAAGTACAACACTTAGAACCCAATAGGCAATTCAAAGGAATGGAAAAGGAGGGAAAGGACAGTGGAAGACAAAACCAGATGAAAACTGGAGAAATGGAAGGAGGTCAATAAGGCTGCCTGAGAGCTAGACATGGTTGAAGTGGACAAGTCTCCATCAAACAGTCGGATGAATAATAGGGAAAGATGAGGGATGGAAGGGTGGGAAGGACATAATCCACAGCGAAAATACCAAAGTTGGAAGGTATACTATTGTCTGTGGTAAATAGATATGGAAGAAGGTCTAATGAATCAGGAAAGGAAATATGCAACATGTGAAGTCAGTACCTGGACTGAGACAATGGATCAGACAAAGGCCATGCATGAAAACAGAGAGTGGTGACATTTGTCTAATGAGGGACCACTCCTTGAGGAGAATCATGTCAGGAGAAGATAATCAATCCACTACCAGAGTCAGAAAGCCAGGAAAAAGGCAAATGAAGAGCACAATGTGATGATTGTGGGCCCAGAAAGTTTATCCAGGATCTGAAAGCACAGAGACCTGGTATTGGTACCCCCTGGCTGAATTATATAAGTAACCACTGTAGAGATGTCGGAATGTACCATAACCACCAAAGCTTGAGGAATGTGATATGGAGAGAAAACTCCCTGATTATCCAGAGACCAGAAGTTTCTTGGGAGTAGAAGTAAGAACCCCAATCCACTAAAGATGAGTATGTGAACAGATGTAAATCCGGATGAGGTGGAGTAAGCAGCACTCTCTCCATGGTCCGGACTCTGTCTAACCACCAAGCCAGGGATTTGAGAAGTTCCACTGATCAAGGAGTGTCCACTGAATGGAACTTATACGAGTCTGACTCACGGGAATGAGAACCAGAGGTCAAACATCTTGAACTATAATATTGTGAACTGCTCATTCCCAACCTGAAGATGAAGAGAAGAAGGCTGTGCCTGACTGAGGAGTGTGGTTGCTGGACTATAAACATGAAAAAGCAAGCAGGAGCAGTCATCCCTAGAAGGAAGAGTGCAAAGACTCAGTGAGTGAAAATGTCAAGCAAAACACTTAAAGAGCCGAAGTTAGGCTGAAAAGTGGGGGGCCCTGAACTGGTAAACTTGACTTAGAACAATAAATTAATATCAACGAAGTGGGCACTGCAGGAAAGAACATGAATTGTAGATTACGAGGAGAAAATGGTTTCTAGGATAATGAACATAAGAAAAGGAGCCAAAGCCCAGCTCTGTCCTATGAACAGGAAAGAAACGAACACATCAGTGATGTAACAAAGCAAAAATTTCAAGTCCCACACTGACAAAAAATGAGTATGATAAAGCATATAGTTAACACTTGCAAAAAAAATATTCAGATAGAACAATGAATTAGATATTACCAGTAGTAATGATATGTAACGTACAAATTACTGAAAATGTACCCAGTTAACAAAGGACTGATAAATGTCAAATAGAAAACACATTAATGATCAATATCTAAGTTGCCAGTCATTGAAAATAACCTAGATGACAAAGGACATATAATTGAATACTACCTGATGAAAATTAGGCTAAGGCACATAGTTAATAATGATGAAAAAAAAATTATCAAAATAGAATAATGAATTATATGGTACTAGTAGTAATGATATGTAACTTACACACAATCTAAACATACCTAGGTGAAGTTCTTATTAATAAAGAACTAACAAAACCATGAATTTTGCCAAGTCTATGAAGTACATATTAATGAACATGCAAAATGATCAAATTTACCAAAAATATAAAGTAATAATCAACATCTAACTTACAACTTATCTAAAGTAACTTAGATGACAAACGACACATAAATATCTAACTTACCAAAGTCCAAGTACCAATGACATGAAATACATAATTTTCCCGTGCAAAGACACACAAAGGGCATCTGAACCACCTCTATCACAGGTATATCAACCATGTGTGAAAGGTACACGTTGAAAAACTTACCACAAGTCTCCTGGGAAAAAGAAGAATTCTTCACCAAAGTGAATGATGTGGTGGCAGAGCAATTGATGGAAGGTGCCAGAAAAAAAAAAGAGTCTGAAGTGTCTACTAATTGATTATATTCAGAAACATTGTCACATAAAAGGAAAAGAAATTGCTGGCCAAATATATGAATCAAGCTCCCTGTGAATTAAGGCCTGCACCTCCACAGCAGATAAAATCGAACCCAATTCCTGGGAAGTTATTTCTTATATCAGACACACAGTCATGCTACATTTTCTTGTAATTCAGTTACAAGAAATAAATGCAAAAAAAAAATTTGTTGAAAAAAAATATTGAAATGGCAAAAAAGCACGTTCTTAAATGGTAGCCACATGTGAAAAAAACTCATGTCTAAACAATACCATACCAATCGAGAAAGCGAGGACTGTGTGGGAATAGCAGAGAGAGATAGCTGTGCCAATATAGATGGTGCAATACTATTGGTGGAGAGTAATCACATATGTACATATTTTGAAATGGTGTGAACCTTATGAGGTATAAAGACTGGTGCACTGATTGTAGAAATGTTTTCAGCAATGCTTAGAGGGCATACAAGGATCGAGATAGCTTTGTATGAGAGGAGGTACGACCATTTTGGAAAAAAAATGCAATAACAATAAAGATGTTCTTCAAATAGAAGTGAAAGGAAAATAATATTAACCCAAGTCTAAAACAACCAAAAAAGTGTTATAAATTCAATTGATTAAAAACACAGTCTTATAAAGGTAAAAATAGACAAATAGCAAGGTTGTTGACAGTAATACTGAAATGATATAAGTTTGAATATATATATATATACTTTATATAACTTACAGAAAAACACAGCCAAGAATGGAGAGTCTTCTATGAGTTTGTCTAACATTCTAGCATTAACAGCTTCAATCTCATCAACCAATTCTCTGTTTTCATCATCAGTAAGCCATTCTAAAACCATTTCTTCATTCTTCATGTCACCTGCAAAAAGTTCAGTTTTTTTTAAGTAATATAAGAGAATGTAAAAAAAAATCATTACTGCTGACCAAAACAAACTGAAAAGTTCAATCTAATTCAAGTTTTTATTTCTTCAAAAAACAAGTATCAAGAGATGTAAACAAAAATAATATTCTTAAACAACAGAATAATAACTGATTTTTAAGTTAAATATTTCAATTACACAAGCCTGCAATGGTTTTATTGTCTTGAAATTTTTACATGTTCTACAGTAATTCCTGTATGCTGAATCCGAAAATGATATCCATTTTTCTCCATCACGTACAAATTTTGCACAAAACATTATAACTCAATACATAAAAGAAAGACCAAAAAATGTAGTTTTGAAACTAAAAGATGTAGATTTCACAAAAAAAATCAGGATGAATGAAGATGCATGTTTGTTTGACATCAATGTTCTTCCCTTTTTTCAGTTTGTTTGTATTTTCGTTAACAAACATAACAATAAAACATTTTCATTGTGGTAAACGAAATAATAATTTGATCTAAGTAAAAAAATTTTTTATCCCGATTTGTAAAAAAATCCTTATGTGATAAAAAGAGGAATATTATTTTCAAAATCTGCATAGCTGAATTATGGAAAATCTGTTATTAAAACCAAAACAACTTTAATGAAGTTTAAATTCACAGGTCTGTGTTATTACCACTTGTGTAACTTAACTATCTAGTGTATTTTCTTAAAATAACAGTTATTTCATGATAATGTAAATAATCCATTAGACACAAGTAAATTTTCATGTATGAAGTTTTGATTTCTGAAATTGTTAATAAGCTTTAAATACAGAGGGTAACAGAGGCTTTCAATCCTGAATCAGAACTTAAAAAAGGTGAATAATCAAGAAATTAATGTAGTTATCACATAATGAAATCAATAAGCACAAACTAGCTTTCATGCTGCATGATGGTTACTTACTGTTAAAATGTTTTGCAATAACTTACAAAGACTTCAGTGCTCAAATATTTTAGATACAAGTTGCTTGATAAACAGAAAAAACAGAATGATTGAGAAAGTAATGTAGTTTTAACTTAAGTAAATCAAAATGCATAACTTAACTTTTATGTTGCATGTCATGACTGTTACTTTTTAAAAATTACTTGTGATAATTTATAAAAACTTCAATGATGAAATATTTTAAATGTATGCTGTTTGATTTGTCCATTTCAAAAAGTGAGTTGAAAATATTAAAAGAAGCTGGTGTTAAAACAAAAAAGTGATAAACATTAGTAGTTGAAATTTATTACATCATATCAATTATAACAAATTGTCCACCTTCAAATTATAATTGCTGTGGTCCTATTATTATAAAAACCATGACTGTTCCTTCTAAAGTCATCAATTCATATCAAAAATGTATTTTGCCTTGCTGCAAACAGTAAGCTTTGAAGTTCCTGTATTGTAAAAGTAATATTTTATATTTTACATGTATGGATAATACTCAAGACATATATTTTTATCAGAAAATTGTGTAGTGAATAAACAAAGGCTATACTGTTTGATTTTTCATTTCAACATAAAAAAGCTATAAAATACTATGACTTGGTGGATAACTCTTTCTTTCTTGGTACATATTCTATGGGATACACAAAACTTGCTTTTAGGGATCCAAAGAAGAAAGAGTAAAATATTTACTCTTATCATATGCTGCTTAATTACAAAATATATAAGTTTTGAATAACAAAGGTATTATATTTTATTATGAAATGCAAAATGTTACTTTTAATATTAATATGCTTTAGTTTACAAAAGTAACATAGTATTGCCATGAAATATCCAATGTAATATATTTTACATGACTTAATAATACAAATGATATTCCTAATATTAACTTACATTAGTATGAATAAACAAATAGCCTATTTTTATTTTTTAAACAAATAGAGTATAGTGACATCAATAGCATATAAATTACCTCATATGCAAATTCAATTCCTGAAGGTATGATATCAAATTACCTGACAAAAATATGAAATCATATAACCTATATGTTTTCAAAAGTTGGACATTTCTTCATCAGAACAAATCAGACAAGTTCCAGTTTGTTCCTGATGAAGAAAAACCTACTTTTTAAAAGTGCTTGGGTTATAGTTTTTTTGTATTTGTGGATTGAATTGATGTTTTTGAGTCCATGAGTTTTATAAAATCATGAATATTAAATTACCTAATATTGTTAAAATAAACTTTCCAAAGGAAATCTTTCAAATGATAAAAATAAATTTATGTTTCTTATAAAAGAACAAAGCTTACCATCAAATACAAGAGGATTTCCATTCCTGAAGTAAACAAGAGCAGGATAAGTTTTAATCCCATATCGTTTTGCAAGCCCTGTATCACAAATTTTTACCATCTGAATACCAAAGAGATCAGTGTCATCATCAATGTTTTCTAGTTCTTCAAGAGCTTGATCACATGCCCTGCAGTGTTGCTTGTCTAGAAAAGGAATAAACAGACTAAAAAGCCAAATAGAAAGGAATATATTTTTCTTGTGGCTTCTGTTGTTTCTGAAAACATATTTGAGTTCGTAAGTCCACACATCATGACAAGACACTTACTCCATATTTCCAGCTAGCTCAAAAACCTAAACTTTTGCAGAGACTAGTATTGATACTCACCTAAAGCAATTAAATTCCTAACTATTACTATTAATATTATTTATACCAATTACACATAAAACTAGCCTATTTTGCAAAAAGTTACACTTCATAGTATTACTGACTATATCATCAAAGACAAGAAAAAAACAACTTACAACAACAGTGTAAAATAAAACAATCCTCACTGGTACAAACCTATGATTCACAAACCAGAAGGTATATCTGCTTTAAATGTTGCTGTTGACAATAAGAAAACATAACATCAGAAGAGTCTATGCATATCCAAAGGGAACATTCTGCCCCAAAAAAGACAAGGATTTTCACAATTAACTTAATTACCTTAGTAAAGACCTTTAATTAAAGAAGGTTCTTAAACTTTTTGTTTAAATATCCTAAAAAGAGGTTGGTTAAATTCTTCATGAACAGACTGTTAAGTATTTTTTACATTCCTATTAGTAGGCACGTTACAGTTGGATTTATAAAGTAAATATTTTCCCATAGAATAAAACTTTTATGTAGGAGTATAAATTAAAAAGACATGGCAAGTATAGACGAGAAAAGCTATTTAAATTGCAAAACAGAACACAGAAAAAAAAAGAAAGTGATTTTAAGACCAAAGACAAAAGTTAGAAAATGTCGAAAACTAGATAAAAAATTACAGGCATGAAAGGGAAAAAAAGTAGACTTACAGAAAAAAACAGCAAGATACTGTTTTTCCTCAATCAAGTTCTCTAACATGTCTCTATTGACAGTTTCAATAGTGTCTTCAGCCTTTTGGAGAATGAGCCACTGTAAAACCTCCTCTTCTGCAGTTAAATCTCCTAATATCAAGAGAAAAATTAGTCGCTATGAAATGATAAGAGCTAAATGCAAAGCCTTGAAAAGCATGGAATGTGAAATTCTATGTTAAACTACTCCTTGGAGAATATACAATAAAAATCATAACTTCCATTCAGAGAAAAACTAAAAATCAATCTGGCCATTAGTATAGCTAATTTACTTATAAAGACAAGAATAATTTTTTCCTCACTTGTGTACGCTGTTAATGATAATTTTTGGCCATAAACTCATTATATCTGTTATCTGTTGTATAACCATGGTAGGGAATTTTTTGAGATGGTATGCACTGGTACACCAGTGTATTGGCACCATTTTTCATATTGCAAAATGGAGGGAATGGTAACAAAATTTGAAAAGAGTAACGTAAATGAAGGTATGAATTTTCCCCTTTAAACAAATCTTTTGTTCACAAGAAGTTCGAAGAGACACCATACTAGAAGTGTTACAAATGACATAGTTTAAAGGAGTGTGAAAACATACTGTTTATTTGATTGTATCAGTGCAGCATGAGGTGTGAAGCATCAGGTAGGATTAGCATGCCATTAATAGAGAACATCAATGGTCACCTGGTTTTAACACCTACAAGATGTGGCGGCTATCAGTCGATGTATGGTAGTGGCCTTACTTTGACTGACAGGTTTTAATTGGGCAGCAGCAGGTGAGAGACAGCCTGGGTGGATGCAATACTGAGTTAAAAGAGACTGCTTGGGATTGGGAAACAGGTGACCACAAGCCGAGTTGACTGGTATGCAGGTCTGGACTGTACATTTGTTCAAATAAAATAAGTCACAAAGTCGCACAATCATCTTCTGAGCCAAGATAAAAAGACACGAGTCTTGAGAATAAGTCGTTTTGGTCTGACATGGTCAGTTGAGAGTGTGATGCCAATTTGAGCGGGTGTGCATTTCTCTTCTACTGTGATTTGATTTTATTGTGTCCAGGAGTGTATATAATTTTTTTGCGTCTTGAGAAAACGCCTTAACGTAAAAGTTAAATGAATTACAAGTTTCTTTTCATCTTCTGTAAATAAAAAAGCTAGAATAAGTGAGTAAGTGACCCAATAACTGGAATGAATGGCATCAGTGACAGTTTTTGTTCCTGGTCCATCAGGTGTCCACAAGCTATCTGACAATGACTGGCCTAGCTGCTGGACTGCTGATCAAAAAAATAATTTTTGCAGGAAGTACAATTGACTTAATACTCGAAATATGAAACTTGGTTGTACACCTTACCATAAAATTGGAACATTTGGAGTAGAAATGAAGACAGGAATGAAAGTTTCTAAAGAATGGGTCAACAATGAAATAGCTTATTTTGTTGAAAGTCGACAGCAACAGCTCCTGTCTTTGAGGAAAAAACTTTTTGATCACAAGGAAAGCATGGGACATAAAGCTGCAGTAAAACTGTTGGTGAAGCTGAGAAAGAGACCATTGAAAATGTGTGTTTGAAAGCATTATCTTGCAAAAAAGCGATTATCACAAGAATTTTTCGCATAGCATATAAGGTAGCAAAAAATACAAAAAAACAATCATTTCATAATTATGAATCTGAAATAGATTTACAAGGACTAGATGGAACTGACATGGGCCGTATCCTTCAGTCAATGAACGCATATATTAACACCGTGAATCACATTAATGATGAAATGAAAAAAATACTAATTAATATAGTTACTACACAGAAAAGTAGAATTTCCTTGATAATCAACAAGTCAACTTCTTTGAATAAAAAAATCTACCTTAATAGTGTACGTTTCAATCTGTATCTTGGATAATAAAATGAACTCATTGGTAAATTTATTTTTTGGACTTGAATGAACTTGAAAATGTTACTACAAAAGGAATTCACCATCACATGCCACACAAAGTAAATAACTTTTCAGGTAATCTTCATTTATTCCATAAGACTGAAGACAATTGAGTAAAGAATCAAAACAGCTGTGATGTTGGGGAGTAAAAGTGGAGTTAAGAAACTGATGAAAGACAAATTTCCTTCTGTAATTGGTGGCACTGCTAATTACAGAATAGAACTGTCGGTTGGTGACTGTGTAAAATCAGTCTCAGGGATCAACAGTTTTATTGATAAACTTTATGTCTTGTATAACAAGTCGCCTGAAAATAGCAGAGAACTAAAAGGATGCATGAACTTGCTGGAGATTGAACTTTTTAGAGCAACATTTTGAAGAAGCAAAGCATGATCTAGAAAAAGACAAAAAATATGACGGCTTATAGAAAAAAATTTACAAACACAGAATTTCTATTAGATCTAGGATTGATTTGTGATGCTCTCCAAGAATTATAGAAATTGAGTTTGGACTTACAAGAGCATGATATGGACTTGTACAAGGTGAATCAATAGATTAAAGCTCTAGTACACATTTTTGAAGATAGACGAATGATTCCAGGCCCATATTAAAAAAATGCCAATGAAGCTGCCAAAAATCTTCATTTCTGGAGAGTTTCACTTCACAACAAATATTGCAAAAAGGAACCTTGAAAATGCCAAGTATGACTATCTTCCCCCATACTGTGCCACCTATACTAGCACAGATAGCTCTCTCTACCATTGCAGCACAACCCTCATTTTCGAGAATTGGCATATTTCAGCCAGAAGTGCTGGCAAATCAGTGGAAAGGAAGGGCGGGAAGTGGGTGAGAAGAAATAAGTTCCTGTCAGAAATATATTTTCAGCATTAGAAAATGTTACTTTCTGAAACAGTGTTATCTCCTCTCACCCAAAGCTAGAATCCAACATTGCAAAGGTGGAGGGGCCAGTAAATGTGAAAAAAACAATCAAACAAGCAGAGAAAAATCACCTGTAAAGAACAGGTGTGTCACAATTAAAATAGGGGGCACACTTGTGGGATATAGCACTATTTCTGGAACAAGTATTCTTTTTTGCCCAGTAAAGAAGAAAAGAAGACATATAGGGTGGAACTGAGAAGAAAACATGGCTAGGGCTAAAGGACTATAAAAGTATATGAATAGACCAAGTGAGGTCCACCTGGGCAGAAAATATCCAGGAGAAGTGCCTTGGTATACAAAGAATTATGCCAAATGGAGTCTAAGGGCAAAAACAACAATACAAGCACCTTGCATAAGCTTATAAGATCAACAAGTGCAGTATGCTGGGCAAAATACATCCAGTGGAAGCTCCTTGCATAATATTGATCATGTTATATTGTGATTGTAACAAAATGAGAGATCAACAAGTGTGGTTCACCCAGGTAAAAAAACATCCATGGAAGTGCCGATTGATAAGTGGTAGCATGACAAGTGTGGTCCATCCAAGCAGAAAACATCCAGTGGAAGCACCTTGCATAAGAATGTGGGTTATATATCATATATGAAAAGTATTGAGAGAATAACAAGTGCAGTCCACCCAAGCAGAAAAATCCAGGGGAAGTGCAGGGCAGTCACCCAGGCAAAAAACATCCAGGGGAAGTGCCTTGTGTTAGTATTGAGTATGGCAAGTGTGGTCCATCTGGGCAGAAAACGTTTAGTGGAAGTGCCTTGCAAAAAAAAATATAATAGTGTGAACAAAATGTGATCAGCCCAGGCAAGAACATCTGGGAGAAGTGCCTTGTGGTTATTGAGTATAGCAAGTGCAGTCCATCTGGGCAGAAAACATCCAGTGGAAGAATCTTGCATTAATAATGTATGTCATGATCAACAAGTGTGGTCAACCCGGGCAAAATAAAACATCTGAGCTAAGTGCCTCAGATTGAGAATATTATGATAGTGCATAATGTGAAGCATAATGACGATAGCTCTTTTTTCATAGAGTGGGTACATATGACTAGGAAGTTTTAATTACTGTACAAATCCCACTTGTGAGGAAACCCCCATGGTCCACCACATCAGCAACTGGGAAATGGAAAGGAAAGGACCCCCTTGCTCTACTAGGAGACAGAGGAGGGGAATATGCATTGCATACCCTATTTTGAATAACAGAAAGATCCTGATTGTAAGAATCATGGGTCAGTAGGGATGGGCAAAATCCCTATCTGCTTACTCATGAAGTCCATGAGTGATGGTCGACATTATATAAAAATATATTTATTGATTAGAAAAAAGTGATATATAGATAGAGATAAATCACTGGAGCATTAAAAAGATATGCAGAGTTAGTGCTAAGATAAAAACCCCAGTGTCCCTGACCAGGTAACACTTGCCACTAGGTGGAATCCTGAAATACAATGTAAAGCAACTTCAAAAGACAAATGCAAAAAAAAAAAGATATAATATGTCTTATCTAAATCAAAGGTAAAGAGACAGGTGGAGAATCACCACAGGCAGAAGACGATACTTAAGCGAGAAAGACACAGTTAGGTCATGGAAATAATGTGTGAGGAAAGTAGTAGGAGTTGTCCACATACAAAAAAAGACAAAAGCAATGGAAAAGGAGGGAAATAATAGGGGACAACAAGGATTTATGAAAACAGGAGAAATGGAAGGTGTTGGACAGGACAGCCTGATAACTAGAAACAGTGGACATGGACAAATCCTGATCAAATAACCAGGTAAAGAACTGGGACAGATGAGGAATAGAAGGATGGAAGTCATGGTGAATTGGCTACTGTCTCAAGGTAGACCAATGTCTCTGATACACAGACAAAGTTGAAGGTCGATTGGTATGGGTAAGCAAAGATGCTATATGAGAGGTGAGTCCCTGAGTGGAGGCAATGGACTGGACAAAAGCCATGTATGGAGTTTGGTGAAGTTGGGATGAAACATGTCAGTTGAGGTTGTAGGAGAAGCAACCTGGATTGAGGTAAGGGCAAGGGCTGTTACTCGAGTAAGTCCAGAGCAGAGGAAACCATGACTGAGCAGGCAAATACAAAGCAACGAGCATTACACAGAAAGGAGTGGTCTGGATGAGGGAACTACTCTGAAAATGAGTCTGATTGGAGGGTAAGCATACAGTTGAAGTCCCTTCCAATCCTGACTGAATGCATCCACCCACAGAGCTGAGGGGTGTAG